TCATGATGCAGGGTAATCATCCTTTAGCTGTGAAGCTCCATGTTCCCTTGTATCTCAGATGTGATTCTTATAAGTATCTGCTAATTTTTAGGTGTCCACAAAATAACTTTCAGGTTAACTTGAGAGAGGCAGGTTGATATTTTCTAAAAACAAGGCCATTCTACTTGTGGTATATCTAAAATTCATGTCAAGAATTAACTGAATATAAAATCGTGATATTGAGAAAGAACCAGGAGTGGCTTATTCCAACAATCTCATAGCAACACAAGAGGAAGTATTTATGTGAGGTCAAGAGGCTTCAAGAATAGAGGAAAGTCACTATATGAAGCACTTTCCCCAGTAATAAATTCCTACCTTATAAAGTGTTATCAATGCAGTTCAGCAGAAACAGACACACCTGCCGTCCCTTTAGTCAGTTAAAAGTTGTCTGAAGCTCTGTCCTCATGGAGTTGTTAATATTTACAAAGATGATGGGGTTGATAAGCTTCTATGCTCTAGTCCAATCTATTGCTTTTGCTGCTGGGTGTGTCACTTGCTCTTCACGTTTTGTTAATCTCATTAACCACATCTTCTTTCATCTAAGCTCTCACCTGCTTTAGCAACAGACATAAACTGGTTTTTGACAGTGGGCACAGGGAAATGCCTGGGCAGCCAGTGACAAATGGTCCTAATTAGCACAGTTTGGTAAATCTTTGCCTAGCAGGGAGTGTTGTATCACTCCATTACAAGCTGTCAAGATGCACTTTCTGGAAGCATAAATATGTAAGTCTTATAATTTTCAGTGATGTGCCTTAGGCAGAGCATGCCATGATAGTATAGCTTGGTTCCTACATGGATTTCTGTTGGAGTTTTAGGAAGATGCCTAAAATTTCTCTGTAGCATCAGGAAGCATGTGAGATTGGTCCAGGTTTGCTGCTAAAGATAGCAATTTGATGTGGGAAGTCCTGTTGACAGTTTGGTACGTGGTTAAATATTGTTGTTGGTTATTTTAGAGTCACACTGCCTTCCATCTCCATAGAGCTGGTACTGACAAGCAGGGTGTGCTGCTGGGAACAGCATCTTGCCCAACATTTGATCACGTTTGGACAGAAAGTTAAGTATGGGCAGTACCAGGAATGCAAGCTGAAGTTCAGCCTGAAAAGGGTCTGATGCAGCTTTCCATTTGTATTGTCCAGATTGATTCCAGTTCTGCTTCATATCTGCCAGAGAGAAAACTCCCATTTAGAGGGTGGAATAGGAAGGGAAGGGTCTGTCTGCTGCTTTTCTTTAATTCTTCTCCATAGTGGAAAAATACTTGGGATGAGAGTTTCCTCTATTGTCCTCCTGAGGAATAAACAAACCTTTTGCCAAGAAATGGCCAGTCCCATTGTCTCTGGGCAGTTTAAGTTTATGCATTGAAATGATGCCAAGAACCACTAGTCAAGAAATCTCCTCTGTAGCAGAGGTCAGATTAAATGCAAGTGGGCCTCTCCGTCCTGGCAGACATGTCCTCCTCCTGATGGGAACCCACCTCGGACATGCCAGAAACAACACTGGTGTGTTTGGCTGGCAGATAGCATGGACAGTTGGACATCTGGAGCCAGGGCTGTCTGCCCTGTGATTGCTGTATCGTCTTGTGGTCGTTGTGAAACCAAACAGGAACAGGTAATAATTCAAACCGTCTCTCCTGCTATCTGGAGTTGTCACCTCTGGGGAACGGCTGGGTCTCAAAGAGCTTGGGAAAGTGATCCTGAAGGTCAAGGGGAGACATGAGTGGTGCAGATGAAGTGATAATGGACTCTGTGGAAAGAGGAGGATGACCATTTGAGGCTTTTATTATCCCTGAAGCCGTGAATCATCCCAAATGCTAATCCTGGGGCGTGCAGTCAGCAGATCCAAGCTGCTGCGTGCCAGGCTGCACTGTCTGAAGGCATCCAGCATGCAAGGAGCTGTGCCCTGTTTCTCTCAGGTCTTTTACATTTTTCTAGGATTGTTTCATGCTTGATCTTACAATTATGCAGGGAAAAAACTGCTCCTGTGGCTTCTCAGAGACTTCAGAGCCTTATAAGTCTATTTTGACAGACTCCCTCAGCATCAACTGGATGGGATGGTGTGTTTGAACCTCAGGGTGTGAGGTTGGGTGCCTTCAGGAGGGCAAGTGCCACGGGCCAACTTTGCCTCATAAATAAGTGCATTCTGTGCTATTAGGAGAAGTCAGATGTGTTTTTAGGTTGGCAGAAGAACAGAGTAGATGCAGCTCTGCTGTAAGCTGTCACAGCTCCATGGACTCTGCCTGCTGACAGACTGCAGCAGGACCTGTGGTTCTGGGTCAGTGCTGGAGGGACGTGCCCCATGTCATGGCACAGACATGGTTACAGCCCTTTGATCAGTCTATGTCCCAGCTCTGAGACCACAAACCTTGTCAGGGAGGTGGGTGTGCTGTCTGGTGCTCAGCGGTAGACATTTCCATATTGATGAGCTGCTACTCATCCCTTAAGCTTAACTAGCACCTTGTGTTGGCATTGGTGAGGATAAAGTTGCTACTCAACCAGATCCAGAAAGGTGAGGGACCCAAAAACCAAACAGGAAGGTGAGTAGCACTGCTGGAGGCCACGAATGGTGCAAAAGGTGACATTTCAGAGCATGGGAGATGCAGCTGCCAGGATTTGTGGCATTTCCACAGTCTTGATGATGGGGAGACTCCTGGTCCTGTAACCATAAAATCAATCAGGTTGGAAGAGACCTCGAAGATCATCGAGTCTAACCCTACTGTCATTACTAGACCATGGCACTAAGTGCCACATCCAGTCTCACCTTGAAAACCTCCAGGGATGATGAATCCACCACCTCCCTGGGCAGCACATTCCAATGCCTGAGCACTGATAATGACTGGGGAAGGAGAGTTTGGGGCCTCTCCACCCTTGTGCAGTGGTGACAGCTGGAGTGACCTGTCCCCCCCCAGCCTGGATGCCTCTGCCAGAGCTCAGCTCTTGCCTCCTAACATCAGCTGCAGTATTGCCTCAGCCCTTGCAATGAGCTTTCTAAATAGGGGTTTAATGACCAGCCATTAAACCTGTGATTTTGAATACTGTGGGCTGAGAATTGACATTTAGAGGAACAACCCATTTGTTTGGTAAAAATGAGCTATTTTGTTATTGCTTCCTTCCAACACCCTCTCCTACTTCACTGTATTTCCCTGCCAACCCTTCCTGCTACAGCAGCCATTGCAGTCATGGCTTAAGTGAGTCAGGCTTAAAAATAGGAGGAAATTTGTATTTTAATCATCAATTATCCTGTGAATCTATGATTGAAGTTGCAAGGGACTTGAGGAGGTCTTCTGGTGGAACCTCCTGTTCCGAGAGGGAGTTCAGGCCTTGTTGTTCAAGGCTTGGTTTTTTGGTTTGGGGTGGTTTTTTACTTTTTGTTCTGGTTTCTCAGAGACCTCAGGAGAGTGTGCTCTGTGTCTGCATTTTCACGTGACTCTACAAAACCCTGGTAATCTAACTTCTCCCTGCAAGCTGAGATGTCCTGCAGCCTTTTGATTCCATCAAAATGGGCTTGTAAGGGGTGAATAAAACCCTCAGCTTTTGTGAGCATTGCCTGTATTTGAGTGATGGGAGGAGAGATCCTGATTTTCTACCCAGCTGTCCCCGTTTGTGGCACTTGGGTGCTGGCCAGCTTGCAAAGAAAAATGGATATTCCTGGCAGAAGAGTGCAGCAACCAGCACTCCTCGGCGCTAATTGACCCCTTCTTGGCAGCTTCATCAAAGACGTTGAAGAATAAATAGACTGTTGATTGAACTGTTTCCTTGTCCCCAGAGGTGGTCCCTCTTACTCAGAGCTGAGGCACATTGTCAGGGCTGAAGAAGAAGCTTGCAGAGCGATTAGCCTGTGCTTGCTGAGAAACAAAAAAGCTTTCATCTCCTGTGCCTTCTATGTGGCATCTGTGAGATGGAAACATTCTGGGGGGGGAGGTTTGCTGCCTCCTCTGTCTGCAGAGCTCCATCCACGGTGCCCACGGAGCAGGTTTCAGTGCTTTGCTCCACCCTAGCAATGCACGGGGTGAGGATTTTGAGGGAAGAGTTCGGGACGTAGCTCACATGAGAACTCCAGTGGTGGAATCTGCTGAAAACAGAGGTCAGGAGCAGGGAAACACCTTCAAGGAAAGCCTGGATGCAGAAGTTGAGGCAATGCTGATGGACATGACTGGTGCATTCTTTCCAGAGCCAAGTCGTGTTGGTGCTTGCTGGCTCTGCTGCCAAGGCATGCAGAAATCCTCACGGAATGAGGCGTGCAGGTTTCACCTGATTCATTGGTGGAGCGTGCAAGGAGAAAATATCAACCATTTTACTTATGCTTCTAAATAGGTTTTTAAATATTGTGCTTGGTTTTATTGGGGTTTTTTTGTTGACAAATTGCATTCAGATGCTTCACCCTCCTTTTGCTTCATTCCAGGCTGAGCCAGGAGTCCAAAGTATTTGAACCTTCTATAGAATGGGCAGTCCAGGAAAACTATTTTCAGTGAAAATATATTCAAGTATATGAACTGAAACCCTTTGTTTTGGATCAGATCAGCGTTCAACTCTGAGATTTGACCAATATCATGCTGCTTCACAAAATTCATTGTCTAGAGATGGGGTTTTAGCTAAAGGCAGAGCAAAAATCAGCACTGCAAGTCTTGTTTTGGGGCAGAGGCTCTTTCTGCAGCTGTTTCAGGGCTCATTCTGCACTCAGCAAATAGAGTGAGGGTGTGCAAGATAAATATTGATACGGTGCTCCCGCCAGGGTGGCCTGAGCATCACGTGTCTGTGTAATGAGTTACAGCATGAGTCTGCATGACACCATATACATCACTGCCATGTGAGAGGGCCTATAGGGTTACGTTGCTATGACAGTCTGATATGGGGCAACACGCCACGTTCTTGGGTAGCAAACACAGCCCTTCCTTCTGCCCCAGCTAATGAGTCCATCTCTGATTCACTGCCAGTGACTCTGTGCCATTTTTTTTTGTGGCTTTCTAGTGATGAAAACACTAGAAAAGACTTGAAGACACTGCCTGTCTTTCCTACCAAGACGCTGCAGGAGCATCCATCACTCGCTTACTGGTGAGCTGTTTAATTTAAAATGTAAATCATTGCTGTGAATGCTAATGACAAGATCACTTTTAAGCAGTTCTGCAAACTCTTTTTAAAAGTTTTCAGCCTGTGTGATATAGGACTTGGAATTAATTGCTCGTGTTCAAGCATTTCCAGTTTTTAGGTGGTTATAAATTATGCAAGATCCGATGCAAATTCCTCCTTGGAAGTTGACTTAAATTAAATTGCTGGATCAGAAACTGCTGGATCAGAATATGTGGGGGGCAGGCATTAGAAGGAGGTGAAATCTGAACTCTAGCCAAGCCTGGGTTTGCAGAGAGCACCTTGGACTTCATCTGTCACATAGTAGAGCCTCTGTGGTGGGGTGACTTTTGCTGCCTGCCAGGTGCCCACCCAGCTCCTCTCAACAGGATGGGGGGAGAAAATAATCTCCAAAAGCTGGAAACAGAAAGACAGGTCCAATTTTAGGGCTTGAATCTGCTGTAAGGGAACACAGCATTCAGGTTGAATCAGTGATATTGTTTCCTTTGAATTAATGCCCTTCGTGCAAGTTTAACTCCCTAATTTGCTTCGTTTTTGTAGGCTTGATGTGTACGTGATGGATTTTCAAGTATACCAGTACTTGCTTATGATTTGTTTTTCTCCAAGTGAATACTGCTGGGTTTTTTCTTTGCTTCCAAGTGTCTGACACACAAATGCATATTTTATTTCACATTCTGCTGAAACAAAATGTTGAAATATATAACAGGAAAAACACAAAAAGGTCATTGCTGACAAATCTGTATTTTTTTTTTCATCTATGAAATGTCAGGGGGGAAAAATATGCTGGAATGAAAACAGTTCTGGTTTAACTTCTTCTGTCTTACATATGGAGCATTAAGCAGCCTTTGAAGTTTGGGTCCTTTAGAACGTTAAAATGAATTTATACAATTAGCACCATTATTCTGCAGCAGCATCTGCAGCAGAACAGGCTGATCCGAAACGATTCGTTAATTAGTCTGGAAGGTGGGATGGGATGTCTGGGATCAGCCAGGCAGCTCCACGAGGCTTAATGAGGGGTGGGAAAGAAATCAGTAAGAAGCAGAGTGTAAACTAGAGCAAGAAATGTGCAGAGGGACAGTGCTCTGCATGCTGAACAGGCAGCTGAACTTCCACAGATGCTGTCACACATGAACAAAGTCACTGAGCCTCTAAATTGGGTTTTGTGCTTGGTTTGCAGTGAGGACAGAGTAATTGAGCATTATACACAAATTAAAGGGCTGACTAGAGGACAAGCCATTGTTCAGTGAGTATGACACTTGTTAATTTGTGAAGATGATATTTTTACTTTTCTCCTTTTTTGTGTTTTTGTGTGTTGAGAAGTGGCCAGGCAGGCTGTTTTGGTCATTATTGCCTGCAAATGATGCTGACTGTGTCTCTCAGATTCCTTTTTATTGAGTTGTATTTCAAATGTGAATCATTTGAAGTTTCACATTTCACAGGCTTTGCAGTTCAGCTTGTGTGTTCTCATTCACTTACCTCAAATGTAAAATAAATTATTTGGACCTTTCTTTATTGGAAGATTCTTCTCCATACCCTGCTTGCTATCAATTAATTTTCACACCAAACTCTTAAGGGTAAATATTATCTTAAGTCCCGTAATCAAATTCTGAAACATTCAGCATTTGGCTTTCAAAACAACAAGGTCTTCCAAGATGCACACAGAGCCTGTGGAATTTTATTTTCCATTTCCCATTAATATTCCTGTACTTCCTACAAGCAAATGCACTGGGATGTGTTACAAACCCAGGTTTAAGATGATTGCCATGGTTGCACGATGTAGACAACTCGTGGTTTTTCTCATGTACCTCAATGCTTATAACTCTGTCTCAATAATTTAGGGGCTTTTTTCATTGGGAACAAGGGGAAAATGGTCTGTTCAGTGGTTCTGTGAATTGCCTCTTGAAACAGCCATACAAAAGCATAAACACTTTCATTTGGAGCCTGTGTTATAACCAGAGCTCCATAATGGAATAATTATAGGCAGTTCTTTACCCCCAATATTTCCCAAAGGGCTCATACATTCAGTCCAGACCTTTACTTTCAGTTGTATGATCTTCTGATAAGAGATTGAATGTTCTGTTGTGTGAGAGATTTTCAATTTGCTTTAGCTGGGCCAAAATACCCCATCTTTCCCTGAGCCAGGATGCTGAATTCTTTCTGAAACATGGGCCTTCAACTATTAAGGCCCTCAAAATATGTAAATGATAAATGACGTGTCTTGGATGGATGTGTGAAAAAAATATGTTAATAGATATTATTCCCTCCAGAGAAAATCATCTGATACGCTATAAATCTGTCTGCAGGTACATGAAAGTGGTAGAAGCTTTGCCAACATATGGAGTTCATTACTATGGAGTAAAGGTTAGTAACTGCCTATAGATAATGTGATTGCTGAGCTTATTACGTGTGATTGCATTCCTAGAGGAGCAGTTGGATGATTCAGTACCCTTCTATGAGTATTAAACCCCACATTTTTCAACCTCTGTAATTTTCCCCCATTCAATATACTTTAAAAATTGTTTCCAGAGAGCAGTGTTATGTGCTACAGAAGACAGAAAAGAATCTTTGTAAAACGTTCTCTAATCCTATCAGCAGCTAAATTCCTATCATCTTAATTAAACTGGATATCACTTCTAGATCCAAAGCAGTTAATAGTTTCCCCAGAGATATTAACCAAGATTAGAAAAAATACAATGTGGAAAAGACTATGTCTTAAGTGGCAGGTGATTAGTGGTGTGTGCTTGGAGTGGGGAAATGCTTAGAAATGCTTTTGCAGAGTGATGGAAATACACCATTTTATTCCCATTTGTAGAGCAGAGCCAAAAGTTTTGTGCTGAAGAGGTCAGCAGAGATGATGTCTCCTTACTTTGAGTCATGGCCATGACTGTGGTACCTGAGAAGCTGATGTTTTGTGCTGTTCCCTCCTCCTGTGACTGTCCATGCCTGAATTTAGTGGATGCAGTCATTGGCCACAGTTGTTTCTGTCCCATATCCTTTCCCTGATCACAGCCACTCCTACAACCAGTGACACCACTTTGTTTCAGCAGCACTGTTGCTTTTCTGTCCACTTTGCACAGCCACCACCTGGTTTGATGCCTCTGCCTGGGAAGGCAGGGGGAGAAAGTTTCCACATTCACCCCAGCAATCCACTTCACATCAGTTTGTTTGCCAGAAATATCTTTGTTCCGTACCTACTCGTACTTGTCACAGAATCCAATGGGCTGTAATCTTGGGATTGCCTAATTCTTAAGGAGCTCTTGGTTCACGTAGACCTCCATTTTTCAGGATAAACAAGGAATCCCGTGGTGGCTTGGAATAAGTTACAAAGGAATTGGCCAGTACGACTTACAAGACAAAGTTAAGCCGAGAAAAGTAAGTTTTCTTCCATCTGATTTTTCTAGTGGGGGGAACATGGGATGGTGTTGTATGCCAGAATATACCTCTTTAAGCTGTTGCTTATTAGGCTGATGGGCAAAAGACCAAGGGTTGGAGGCAGAAGGAGAATTCTGCTGGCACTGAGGCAGTAAGACTCTCCCTCTCGCATAGATAGTGGAAACTCCCTTTGGGAACTTTGGCTCACGTGTCTTGCGTTTGGTGGTCTCAGGACAGGAATTTTGGCAGCCTCCAGGGATAAGAACAGAAATACAAAGCAGTTGGGTTTCTGCAAGGCCTCGTACTCAAGCAATGTTTTCACTTGGCTTTTGTAGGCGTTTTTTGTGCATGAAGTTGTGAAAGGCCCCAACTGATATCGGCGGAATACTGGGGGGAACTGTGTGAAATTCCAGGCTTGTTGGGACAACTGTGTGTTTCCATTAATTTTAAGGGGTGATTGGGAATAAATGCCAAGTACTGGAGGTCATTCCTTTCCTTTACCAACTCACTGCTCCCCAGAGTGTCTCCTGAAGAGTGAACTCTGCCAGAACCCTCCTGTGCATTGTTTGAACAGGGCAGAGCATCCTGCATTGCTCTGTTGGCTCCCTCAGAGTCCCTGGACAGGCTCTTCTGCTGGCAGCCTTGGAAACACATCATGCACCCAACCTACTGGGTGCTGGGAGCTCACCCTGTCATGTAGCTGCATGTGTCTCCTTGTGACAAGGTTGAACCCTGAAAGTTATTTAACCCCCTTGGCTTTGGGCAGAGCCAGGGCTGCACATGTTGGAGCCACACTGCTGGGCTAGGGATGTGTGGGTTTTTCTGGTCATGTCTTTGTTGAAACATCTAAGCTGTGAGGACCTGGAGCTTTGCTGTTCTCCTTCTCCAGGAACGATCTGGGCAGGAGTTCACATGAAGCTGTGTTCCCTGCCAGGGAATTTTACATTTGCAAAATTATATTGTTTAGTGTGTTTGTGCCAAAAAACACAGCTTAACAAAACTGCCTTGATAAGAGTAATTCCCCTTCAAGCTTCCAACTTGGTCTTTTTTTTCTAGAGCAGGCTATGACTTGGTTTCTCTTGGTATATTTATATATCTGTGTGTCCAAGCCTGAACTCTCATGTCCTTCATTTGCTTTGTTTAGTGAAGCACAGTTTCATCCCAGGTCTCTCTTCCCATTCCTGTACTAAATGACAGCAACACAAGAGGAACTGTAAGAAAGTTATGTTAATGCAGCCATTGATGGTAAAAGGAGAGGATCATGAAGCTCCTCTTGCTCTTGAGCACTTCCCTGTTTTTAGGCAACATCTTTATAATTATTGGTCAGGAAAGGATCATTCTCCAGCCAAGATGTCCAACTGTGGCCAACAATGCTCTCCAAGAAGATGCAGCCTGCCTGGCTAGAAGCACTGCTTCACCAAGCAGATTTTATGCTTGTGGGATTTCAGTTTACAACATCAACCAGGCAGATTAAGAGAATTTTTTAAGGTCAACAGGGCCCAGATACCAAGTCACACCCTGCTAGAGTTAGTTACAAGGCGTTGCCTTTGAATGCAGCAGGAGTTGTGTTTAAGAAAAATAAAATAAAGCCCAAAGGTCACCTCTGTGATGGAAGTGTTACAATGGAAAGGATAATAGTTGTCTGCTTGACTGAAATTATAATTATACAACAGAGGATAGAGATTAAAAGGGAAGGTGAGAGAGAGGAGCCTAAATGCAGATGAAAGGTTTAATGCCAGTAAGCTCATGGAAAATGTGGGGATGGATATGGCTGTAGTATCCTTAAGGATTTGTGTCTGGTGTCAATGCAAGGAGACAAAAATATCCTAGCCATGACTCCTTTTAATGTGTCTATATATGCAAACAGGTGCTTTATCCAGAAAGTGTTTCAGAGTTTGAAATACAAAGTACACTTCTGTTGTGATCCATGGAACTGATTGGAACCAGATCACTTTTGGGAGGAAAAGCTAGAGAGTCAGCAATGAACAGACTTGGGTTTGGAGTTAAAATCCTGAGCTACTGCTGCCTATTTCAATATAGCTACAGCCTTGCTGCCTGTGATGTGGCAGGCAGAAGTTCCCTTTTAATCAGTATTATTTGTTCATATTTATGAGTGTATCGGGATTTATTTCAGAGAGGGAAGAGTATGTACAGCTTGCCTGAATCTCCCACAAGTCAGCAAACACAGTCCTTTCTGGAGCAGCAAGCAGGAGGGGAGTAGGCATGTGAACTATTCCTGTCTGTTGGAGCAGAGATGCAAGTTTTGCTGGGTTTAGCAGAATTTTCTTGCTTTGCTTTTTTGGGATGGAGCCAAACTCACAACTGCCATGTGCTGGTGTTACCCTGCTGTTTATACTGTGGATCAAAAGTGCTGTTGTGTTTATCCCTAGCCATCTGGGAAAGAGCATCCTCATTGTGCTTCATTTCTCCAGTTGGTGATGTTTAAATATAAATGCAGCTGATTAACTCAATAAAAGGGAAAGACTGAGTCCAAGTCTAATGAAGACCATGCTGGCCTTTCTGAATTTTAAAGTTACAAATGATCTCTGGGTGTGCAAACCTCTCTGATAGTGGTTGTGGTGGGAAAGTTGCTGCATTTCAGGTGGGAAGTTTTGAACAGGAATTGGTGACTGTACCCCAGCTGAATTCACACTGGGGGGGGTTATGCTGCTCCCTGTGTCTCCTCTGCAGTGCTAGTGGCTGCTGTCAGATGTAGCTGCCTTTGTTTTATCATAGGCATCTGATAAGAGCCCAGTCCATATTCAGAATGAAAACTTAACAAATAATGATATATAGAGATATAAAATTAACTGCACCCATTAATGCGCTGTCAATTAAATGCAAACAAATATAACCATCCTCCACAAAAAGTGAAATCTTTTGGCTTCAGTCAAGTAGGTCTTTAGGCTAAGAGACCTAAATACGAGCCTCGGAGCTCAGTGGTTATCCCAAGATTTTGTTATGGGATCAACACTGTTGCATGAAGTCCAAGGCTGAGAACTCTTCACAGGAAGCAACTTGCATGACAGCCCTGGATGGAGCAATCTCCAGATCCATATCGCTCAGCCTTGCCAACAATTGCACATCTGCCATCACTCATCCGTGATGGAGCGTGTGGTGTCAGAGAGGACAGTGTGCAACTCGGGGCTGGACTAGGAGAACCTGCTGTGTCTGTCTGGCCATGGAAAGCTGGCTGGGGAGGTTTGACTTCGGCTATTAATATTTTGCTGGTTGACCTGAGGTGGTTTGGACAAGGCAGTTTTGTTGCTCTAAGTCACTCCTGGAAGCTTGTCTTGCTTGGGAAGTGGTTTGTAGTGAAGTGAGTCCCCTCACCCAGGACTTGCCAGCTCATGGGCACTGAGGGAGGCACTGTGCTCCAGCTCTGTAATAGACTGGAAATGGAGAAATATTTTGTGTGTCACTTAGGAAAATTGTCTGTAGATAAAAGCAGTGGCTCCACACTGGCTGGAGGTTACACTGAGCTCACTTGATTATCATCCTGAAGTCTCACAGGGCATTAAAAAAGACTGGGTTTGGCAACCCTTGCTCAGATTTGAGCTCAGACCTGGGATTAGCTCTGCAGTCCTGCTGCTTTGCAAACATATTCTCCCTTCAGCTGCAGTTAATGCCGAGAGACACCTCCTGCTAGCAGTGGGGTGGCATGCCAAGATCCTGTCCCCAGTCTCCTCTGAGTCAATTAGGAAAAGCATTAAACAGGTCCCAGGACTTTGTTTGTCATTCCCAAACAGAATAGATCTCCCTTTATCTCTACCCCATTCTTCTCGTTGGCGAGATAAACAATGTGTGTCTTGTTAATGGAGGGTTTATTAGGGCATGAGTTGAGTTGATTCTGCGTTCAGCCAAGGTGTGAGGATCTCTGAGGGTTTGAGAAGGCAGCTCACTGGCTTTTTGACTTGTTCTCCCACTTCATTGTGTTTCTGTGGGCGACTCCCTGGTGATAAATGAACTGCACTATCTGAAGAGAAGAACTAATCTTGCTATGGTATTGTTTCAAATGTACAAGAATTTCAGTTCTAGTGCTGGAATACATTATGTTCCCAGAAGTGTTTTTATAAGTGTATACTGGTTTTCAAATGGGTAATGTTTATCATGGAATGGTTTGGGCTGGAAGGGATCTTAAAGATCATCTAGTTCTGCCCACTGCCATGGGTAGGGACACCTCCCACTAGCCCAGGTGGCTCTAAGCCCCATCCAACCTGGCCTGGAACACTCCCAGGAGCAGAGCAGCCACAGCTTCTCTGGACAACCTCTGCCAGTGCCTAGGCACCCTCACAGAAAAGAACTTTTCACTGCCTGGATTTAATTCTATCAGGTCTTTAGCTTTCCTAACCAGATTCCTGACTGCTCAATTTCTCTGCATTTCTTCCTCTGTAGGGTTCATTTTTGTGTTTGACCCTGTCCAGGAGCTCTTTGCTTATCCACACAAGCCTCCTGATGCTTTTGCCTGACTTTCTCTTTGTTGGGATGCATCACTCCTGAGCTGTCTGGAGCTATTATGATATTTCTCTCTTAATTCAACATATGCTAAGAGCTGATGCTGAAAGTTTTTCCCTTGCAGAACATTTGCTTCATGTAAATTTGCTGTCCTGCTTTGCTGAATGGTTCAGAACACAGCAGCATTGGTACAGGCTTCTCAGCAGGCAGCTTTAATTAGGCAGAGATTTCTTTTATGGGGTTTATTTCTCACCAAGCCATTGATTTAGACAGAAGATACTAAGCTCACATAATTGCTTAAAATAAACACAGAGCTGTTATGAGACCACTCTGAAATTCAGTTCTTTCCAGGTGTGCAAAAAAATTGCCTGAATATCACCTTCCCTGAAACACACACAGTGTGGGACAGTTTGATGTGAAGATATCTCTCAGACTTATAAAGTCAATACTAGTGAGGACCAGGCAAGGATGGATCATAATGTATTAGGGGGAAAAAAGTGATTAAAGAGGATTTTAGAGGACTGAGTTAATATTTCAGGGATGAAGGATGCCTGCAGGTGAGCTCTGCCAAGTTATGCTGGCACAGGTGGGAGCTGTCTGCCTCCTTCCCTCAGAAGTTGCTGCAGGTGGGGTGGTTTGGCTCTCCTGCCATCTCCTCCAGTGCCTCCCTGCACAGCCAGGCATAGCAGTGTAAAACAAGAAGATTCCAGTTAGAGGCAAGATGCCAGACAGCCAAGTGCAGCAGAGGGGCTGAAACACAGCCCTCCTTCCAGTGCTGCTGGCAGGGTGGTAATTTCCTTTGTCGGGGTGGGGTGCATTCCTGTGGGCAGAAATCTTTTATGTTTCCTTGCTCTGAATTGCCAGATTTGTCTGCAGATTGCTGCTCCCAGCCAGTTCCTGAGGGTGCTGGTTGCTGAACCTCCTTACAGGCACTGCACGTACCACTTTGATACTTTGAGGTGCTTTGGAAGTGCTTCCCAAGGGAGAGGCTGCTGCAAACAGTGCAGCATGGCTTGCACTTCCATGCTGACCTTACCCAATGATCCCTTGGGTGGAAATTCAGAGATCTGGGTAATTTAGGTCTTGGTCAGAATTTGTCATCAACCTTGGAAACATCCCAGGTGCAACCTTGGCTGGGTGCAACATGGTCTCTGCACCCAGCTGCTCTCCAGATTTTCACATCCTTGCAGAAAAAAACATATTAATCCACCACCACCACGACCAAAATCATCTTTTTTTAAAACAAAATCCTTCAGACTCACAGGAATATCAAGCCAAGAGCCCCAGAGCAGTACTCTTGCATGTCTCTCAAGGCAAGGGCTCTGCCAGCTCCTGCCTGTGATCCTGATGGGGCCGTTTTTCTGAGCCAGTTTGCTCCTGCTCTCAGGCCTGGACAAACTTGCATTTTATTCAAAACTGGATGCAAGATCAGCCAGGTAGAAAGCCAGCTGCTTCTTTTATTAAGGTGTCTCACCATTTAGGCAGTCTGTGTCTCTTTTGTGTCACCTTAGAGTACAGTTGCAGTTCTTCTTGTGCAGAAAGGAGGGTGATCCCTTTTTATTCAGTGTTCTCTACTATCTGGAAGAGGATCACAGTAGAAATGCAAGAAGCCTAAACTCGTGGGCTGGAAAAGCAGCTGGGTGCTAAGAGTCTGGCTGGTGCACAGAGGTGCCTCAGTAATGAGGTGTGATCAGAGCTGCACCTCCATTTTTTTTTTTTTTCCAAAAAGACTCAGAAAAAACAACTTTGACCAGGCCAAATTCTTCTCAAAGAACCAGACAGGCAGCCCCTGTGATGCTCAGTGGGAATTTTCAGGAGTCTTTAAGGACCTGGCAACCTACATGGATGGGAAGGCTATTAAGAAAACATTAATTAGCTCCGATGGACTTAATAATCTGGTTAAAGGGAACATACATTGCAAAACTTCCACAAAAACATTTTAATTATTCCTAATTGTTCTTCCAGCCCTCAAAAACCAGTTCCACTTTTTTTTTTACAACCCTTTTGTCTTTTAATATGCATGTAGTTTAGGTAAGATTGAAATTAGGGATTCTTTAGGAACATGTCTGTACAGAGTTAGGGAGTATTTGAAGGGGGTAGGATATCTCTAGTGCAGTGACAGTTTCCTGAGTGTTGGCTTTTGACCACAGCTTAGAAAAATTTAGGTGATTTTTTCCCCCTCCTTTTTACTGAGGCCATTTTTTCCTCTTGTCTTCATGAATCCAGGCATGTTAAGCAGAAACTTGTAATACTTTCAGGATTATTTTTACATGCATCTATATAAACATTATTAGCTCACGACTTATTCTGAAGCTGCTCATTTAATCATGGGCCTTTTTTTTTTTTTTTTTAAGGCCGTGTTAAAAGGGGTTTTCTGTAAGAGGGTTTGTCAGAGGAACTGATTGCTAAGGAGCTTATATTGTTCTTAAGAGAGATAGTTTAAGGACAAAGTACTTTTCAGTCCATAAGAGCAAAGATGTGTCTTGGGTGCAGAATTCCAAACACCACTTCCCCATCTCTCCTGCTGAGCAGCACTAGAAGGGGGAGCTGGAGTTTTCCCAGTCTTTGGGCAAGGAGGCAGAGATGTCTTTGTGCTGAATGTACCCAGCTGCAAGTGTTTGGGGCGCCTGTCAGCTCCTTTTGGGCTGGAATGGATCTCACAGGGTGGGGAGGAAATGGGGCAAAGCTCTACCCACATCCTGAGGCAATTCCATGCAGGTTTTTTTTTTTACAAATGCAAAGCCTTTTTGGTTTTTTTTTTTCCCTTCTCAGCACTGCAGATGATCAAGGGTAGGTCTCACCTAGGGGCTGGTGTTGGATTTGTACAGACAGCTCCTCATGGAAGGGTTCACCCATTCCCTTGGAGTGCTGGTGTGTCTCTCTACCTGGGCAGGGGCTGCTCCAGGTGATGGAACCACTGCATTTTGTTCCCCTGCCAAATACAGCCCTCATCACCCCCACTGCCCTTTAGACAGGTCACTCCTTCTCCCGCAGCCCTCGGGAATGTTGGGCACATCCGGATGGTAAAAACCCAGAGGAAGTGATAAAGAGGACAGGGAGTCCTCATCGTGATGATAAGAAGGCAGCAAGGCAGGGTTGTGGGGTTTTTTTTCCCCCAGAGGTCGCATTTGACGCACACCCATGGTTTTTACGGGCGTGGGAGCGGGCGGCAGGGAACACCGCGGTGATGCTTCTGGTTGAACCTGTTGCCTCTGGGCTGTGAGTCAAGGCCAGTGGGGCTGGGATGCGGCACCCTGGGGACCCCAGGCTGCCCAGGGCAGTCCCCACGCCACCACAACCCCAACCCCTGAGATGTGTTGGGATGCTCTAAGGGATGCAGCCCCTCGGTGGATACATCCTCCGGTCCCTCCTCCGCTGGTGTTTGGCTTTATCTGGGGAAAGGCTGTGTGGGAGGGGTGGCGAGGAGAGGCGCTGATGTCAGGAGTGTGTCAGCAGAGGGAGGTGAAGCCGGCGG